AGAATAAAAATCAAAAGATTAGTCTGAATACAATTATAACAATTTTATTTTTAATTAGGTTAAAATTTGATCGTACTTTATTCAAAATTATAATAAATTATTTAAGAATAATGATGCTTAATTATGTCTCCTTAAAATTTAACAATTTTTGAGGAACAAGGGATATAAAATAAAACTGGACTTATTGAATTTTTTTGAAATGATATGATTTGATGGATTTTAAAACAATCAGTATTTGTGTATAATTGTTGAGACGATTTACTAATTTAATTTTATTTCATAAATATTGTAAGCCAGACATAGACAGTTAAGAGAAAAAAAAAGAATATGTGAGCTTTTTTCTTGAAAAACTGTATCATGAAATATTGTAATCTGTTAATTTTGGCTGATTTAATCAAATTTTAATTCATTTCTGGTATGTAATTGCATAATCCAAAGATTCTCTTTAAGAATCTTTATGAATTGCACTCTGAAAAATTGCCTTTCTTATTCAAATACCTAATTATAGTTATAGAGATTCTTATAATAATCAGATGTCTATTGTCCAACAGACGCTGACTATCTCCCATTCAGAAGGTAGGAAAAGATGGATTCAAATACAGATTTGTTGTTGAACTCTGGATGAGCTTGTTAAAAACAGATGTGGGGCTGAATTAAACTGGTTATGTCTATCAGGGGTTATAAGATAAATTGTAAGAAGTGAATAATATTATGAAGATAAAATATAAGGTTTGAGAATGGAGAAAGAATAACTTGAAGTGCAAGTATATATTTTCAGTAAATTAGAATAAAAATATGATTTAAAATAGCAAAATGAATAAATGAGAAAAAAAGTTAATCAAATAGAGGTTAAAAACTACGAATTAAAAGATAAAGTAAATTAATAAGGACGTTCAGTAGTTCAAGGGATAAACTCCAAAATTATGAAATCATACGTTCCTTAATGACAATTATTAAAAATAATTATTATAATTATTATAATAATTAAAAATTGTCATTTTATGTTATATATTATTTCAAAATACATCATCAAACGGAGTTGATTAATTTTTTACATTTATTTAAACTGATTCATTCATGTTTACTTATATTTATGGTTGATTATATAACTAGGTAATTGAAATTTAAGAATTTTGGTATTATTGTTATGGTACTTGATTGAATGGTTAGGGTTGGTATTGATTGGGTAGGCTTTATTTCTAAATATTGATTATAAAATAATTACAAATTATTATTATTATTATGGTGGGGATTGTGTTATAATAGATGATTGAATTGGAATATTTTACTAAAATAGATTTAAAATTTACTTGTTATTATTAATATAAGGAAGTAATATTGAATTATAATTGTGCATTATATTATGGTACAACTGGTTCAGGATAATCAAAAGCATCCAATAAATCTTATGGTAAAACCTTTTACTATTATTATTATTATAATGGATTTTAAACATATTAGAAGTTTTATTAAGGTGCTTAGTTTATTGAATTTTATAATAAAGGTTATTATTAAATTTTAATATAAAGGTTATTATTAAATTTACTATTGTTGTTATTGATATATAGGTTATTATTAATTTTATTATTAAACAAGTACTGATTATTATTATTATTAGGGAGGAAAGGATCATCTACAAAATCTAATAAATTTGTTTAAGGAGGAGGCTTAGGTTTTGGTTATTCAATCACTTATTATTGAATGGGTGGTTAGAAAAATGGTTAATTTGGTTGTTAAAAATCTCCAAAAGGATTTGGTTTAAAGTCTTATTAAAATTAATTTTAGGATTATTATTATGGCTTAATTTATTATTATTATTATTATAAAGGTTCATTAAATCCAAATGTAAAAAAATTTCCAAAAACATTATCATTTGGGCTGAAGATTTTTGGAAAATTCCCAAAATTTTCAAAATCATTTTTTATTTATTATTAATTAAAAGATGCTTATGGTTATTAAGGTTTTGGTTCATTAAATTTAACATAAGGATTGTATAATGGTTTATTTTATTAAGGTTTTGGTAATTTAGAATAATAATCTTCTTAATTATTTCCATCATTGTACGAATTAAAATTCTTTTTTTGTTTTTTCTAAAATCCAAATTATAAATTACCATTGTGATAAAGATGACTAAATTACATATTATTTATCCTTAAGTCATATAAATCTCCATTATTAGAAATTGTTAATAAATTACTTTAAATGGTCATGGAATAATTAAAACTTCCTAAAACCCTAAAATATGAATAATAAATTATAGATACGATGATTCTTCCCTCAAAATTTTTCCATTATGTACTCCTTTCTTTTTACCTGACAATCCTGATACAAACAGTTCAATAGCATGATCCTTATCATCAATACTAAACTTCCAAATATACTTTTTTTTTGAGCTAATCAATATGTGATATTCAAATACCACCAAATTATTTTCCTTTTGCAACTGTATCTTCAGCTTGTTCTTTCATCTAATTTTTTTTCTGCTTTTTCAATTTTATCCTTTATTCCTGATGGTATTTACCACCAAAGAATCCTTAATCTTTATTATTATCTTTTTCATTCTCTTTTTTAGTTTAATTTTATTCTTCTTTAAAAGTATCTATTAAACCATTAGCTTTTCCTAACTGGATCTATTTTATCAGATAATTTAATTAAATATCCTTCAAATATTTTCTAAACTATATTTATTAAGTATATTAAGTTAAAGATACCTAATAAAACAAACATGATAATGATTAAGTATTATGTATCATATTCTTATGAAGTATAGATTAATAACCCAATCAATAATGTAATGATGCAAACAATAGTAGAATAACGATCAAGAGAATTAAGATCGTTATTTTTATAAGGTTTAGTGTTAATTAATATCCAAGAATAGTATTATAAAACAAGAATTACAAGAGCACCTTTGATAAGAACATAATCTTCATAAAATGTTAAGAAAATAACCATTAATTCTTTTTAAAAGATTTTAACAAATTCCCAATAATGAGCAGTATTATCATATTCATTATAAAAGAATCCTCATCTTGAATGAATATGTCTATTATTTCAATGAAATCTATATGTATAAACTTTATATAAGAATATTAATAGTAGAATACCAACCCAAATTATAATCATAGGTGCTACAAATGCAGCAACCCATAATTAATGTTAATCAGTATCACTACGATATGCATCATCTGCTTAAACCCAATTAATTCCTGATATAATTCTTGAACTTCCTAATTATATAAATCCTCCTACTAAGTAGGTTATGCAAAAATAAACATATAAATAAAATGCTGTACTTATCATAGTAGCTTTATAAGGAATCTTGCCAATCATAACTCCAAAAAAATACTAAATAAAATATATGATCAAATAAATGCATGGTATAACTAAAGCCCATATGATTCTAAAATAGAGCATATTAATATCTGTCATAGGTTCTAGAATACAATCTAAACTAAATGAACTTGATTTTATTGGATATCCAGCAGCATTTGTTGTTTTAGGTAATCCTTTAGGTAATTCTAATTAGAATTAATTAACAATTTATAATATCTAGAAATAATTTGTTAACATCTTTATAAGAGTTGCTAATTAATTAGCATTTTAATTAAGTCTTACTCCCATTAAAACTAAACTTTTAACCATTAAAAATTAATTAACTAATTCATATGTTCCTTTTACAGATAAAGGAATAGATGCAACTGTTGATATTGTATTACCAGCCAAAATTCCTATACTTGAATCTTTAGTATTTTAACAAGGAGAACACACGTACTTTTCTGTATTAGAATATCTAATATCATTGTTTAAAGAATATACAAAGTGTACCTATATGACCAGTATAACATGAAGGATTTCCAGAAATTCATCCACCATTGCAATTTCCTGGAAGATTTTAACAATATTCATATTGATCATTATCTATATATGGTCTATACCATCCTTTTTTTAATTTTATTCCAACTGGAGTTACATCTTAGGATAATACATTATATGGATATTCTCTTTACAAAACTGGTTTTTTTACATTTTCACTATAAACTATATAATATTTTAATATATTTTACATCTCAATTCTAAATATAAATCTTCATCAATATATGGATCAAATTAAACTATCAATTCATTCAAATTAAAAGATGATTCGCCGACATCATAACTCAAAGTATTATAATTAAAAAAGTTTGTTGTGTAATCTTTAGAATTATCATAAAAATTAATATTCTATATTCTGCCATCAATGTACAATTTATTTCTAATTATTTTAATACAATTATTCTTAATTTTATTTCTAATTGAATTAAAAATAAAAAATAAAAGCTCTTTCAAATTAATTCTAACATTAATCTGAAGAGTATTCTTTAGCTAAAATTTCATCAAATCTATTTAAATAAATTAATTTCATATTCCAATCATAGGGTATTTATTCCATTGTTTCAATAAAATAGAACTTGTAATTTCCTAACTTTTTAACCAGTAGGCAAAATTAATAAATAAGTGGCTTCAGGATAATTTTATAACTTAGTCTTTTCATTGCCAATTTATCAATCATAGTAACAGTACTTGATATGGAGGATTCCTGTATATGTTTAAAACAATAGATTAATATAAACTTAAAATGAAATATCTATATCACATCTCCATCTTCATTAGTATATTTAAAAAATGGAACAATTTACATCTCTCTATTATTCATTATGATTGTTAATGCAACTGGATCTTCATATGTTTAAGTACCAATATTTTATTCATAATAATTCTTATATTTTGTTTGATTACTTAATTGTGTACCTTCTAAGCTGATCCTACTAAAGCCTTATTATAACTAAATTTAGAGTTGAATATTAAATGTAAGATTTTGTTGGATAATAATAGATTCCACCTCCAACTAAAGATGCTATATTATTTGAGAATTCACAATTATCAAAAATTATGTTTAAACGAATAACACTAACACCTGCTCCTATAGTAGCCACACCATTAATAATTTTTGAATTATTTACTTTTATTGAATATTAATCCTTATTTCAGTTAATAATTTCATCCTTATAAAGGTTTATTAAAATCAATATCTTCCATTTAAGTATCTTTTGTAATTGATAAGCATCCAAAATATGATAAATAGTTATAAACACAAAATAAATAATTTATCCAAATGATATTAACTATTTCTTCAACTAAAAAAATCTATAATAATCCATAGGGGCAAGTTGGGCAATTATTATTGCTGAATTCTATTCCTTCTTTCATTTATTTGATTTCCTTCTCTCACATTTTATATTTAAATATAAGCAGCAGTTTTATTTGAAATTTCATCCAACAATATAGAAAAAATACAATCCTTAAAATTTTAATTGTATTAAAAATTAAGAGGAATATCATCAAATGTTGGTTATAATTAATTAAAAATTTCATCCCATTCATATTTATCTTTATTAGACATTTTTAAATATTCTTATTCTAATTCTAAATCTTAAATGTAATAATGGGCATCAGAAAATATTTGATCTACTAAAGCAATATTTTCTTACCAAATATCACAAGTCTATTCATCATATCCTAACCTGGAGATTCAAGAAATAATACACAATTTATACCTAAAATCCTTTTTAAGGTATAAATTGTGTATTGCCAGAAAATGTAATTGAACCTAAATAAGCAGTACCCAATTCATCTTTTAAAGTTAAACGAAAGAGTGGAGCACTAAAAATTGTATTATTTACAAATTAAATTTAATTAAAATACAAATTTGTTGCATAAATAATATTTTAATTTGCTATGTTAAAAATGTAAATTTTATTCGTCTTCAATTATCCATTTGATTGTGTATAAGGAGAGGCTGTAACTTTAAATTAATCAATTTCAGAGTCTGTTAAAGCTGGCACTTTTGGTAAAAATTCTTCAAGATTATTATTTTCAATTCTTAAATTATTCATTTACACTATTTAATTAATAAAATCAAAAAATTAATCTTCCATAAATTAAGATGTTAATGATTAACATTTAGTAAATTTACTATCATTAATAGAAATTAATTATTAATTCTTTGATGATCCTAACCACCTATTGATCTACTTTAACAATTATTCATATTTATAAATGATAAAGTAAGTTAAAGAGTTGAAGCTTTTGCATCAATAGCTAAGCCACCTCCTTAAGTTAAATATTTTGAATCTAAATTTGTTATCATATTTCTAAAAATAGTATTATTGATAAATAGATTTCCTTTTCCTTATGTTACTATGAACATTCCAACACCATCCAATTAACAATCTTTCATTTATAATTCTTATGTAACAATATACAAATTGGCTCCTTTTGATTTAACTTCACAAAATTCCCACACTTAAATTGTGTTCTACATTTAATTTTCATTTAATTTATTTACCCAAACTCTATCAAATTAATTTGTTGATCTAAACCAACAATTAATAATATTAAGTTATCTTACTAATATATAATTTAATCCATATTCAAATTTGAGTTGCTCTATTATAATCAAATGTTGCATATGAAATATTCAATACAGCTTATTATGATTAAATAACTAAGATAGTTGCACTGATCATCTTTTAATATAAAGATGATTTGTGTAAATGATTACTTTAGAAATCAGCATTATTTATAATAATTTATTGCTATTATTAGGATTTTATCAATAATAAAGATAATTATGATCCCAAATCATAAGCAAGTAAAGTATTTGAATGCATAGATATTTGAAATAATAATTATTTCTTTGTCATAATTTGAATAAAATTAAGTCAAATTGTCTTTTGCTCTGCTAGTTTTCATTCTTAGTATATCATATGATTATATAACTATAGCATTAAAATCTACCAACAATTAATTACTTATAATAATATTATTTAATTTCATTCCATTTGAGAATTCATTTACATAAAGACAATAAAAATTATAATTATTTGATGTCCATAATTATTCAGCACAATATTCTGATGATGGAATAAAGTTATTATATGAGTTATCAACAGTTATTTCTTCTCCAAATTCATCATGTACAGTAATACAATTTGATTGAATTGAATCACATTGTAGAGTATCAATATCAATAGATTTAATTTAATCAAAATAAAATACAATAGCTCCCAAATTATCTACTGATTTTAATTTCGATATTTGAATATTCTAGAATTACTTAAACGCACATAATGAGGAATCAAAATATCTAATAATTTCTGTGTATATCACAGATGATGTTCTTGTAATTTATAATGAGACTATTTTTTTTAAATTGTTTTTAATATCATAGATATTCTAGGGAGTTTATTATAAAAATAAACAATTTATACTATTACAATCATTTTGATCAAAACCAACATTTGTAATCTTAAATTCTTATAATGCACTTATTGGTACAATTAGAGGATCAACTAATGCAGCAGTTGAAAATATTATTGAGTTATTAAAAATTTTATTAAATCCAACATAAAAGTTTTAGATATTAAGATGATTCAGCATAAATACTACAGAATTAATAAATTAGTATGTGTAAATATCTACATTAGAAATTGAGCTTGCTATAATATAATTGCTTAAAAATAAATTAGAATTAATAAAAGAACTTAATTGAATTTTAAGATCATTAATAGATAATGTGATTTTTGCATATGTTTATCCATTTTAAGATCCAAAGAAAAAGTATTTATGAATTCTGATTTATAATTAAATCATTAATAGTAATTGAAGTATTATTAAGTGGATTTTAATCAATATTTAAATTTAGATTAAAAATTGACATTCCATAAATTGAATTTTAGTTAGTGCCAATTTATAAGAACTTTCTTAAGTAAAGTTTTAATCAAGAAAAAGATCAATAGGTTATAATTAAATAAATTGAACCTATTCTAAATAAAGTGATGAACTCCTGAAAAATTAAAAGAGAACATAGCGTAATTTTAAGAGTCTTTCTTAGAAATTTTTGAATTGATTAATGTAAATGAACTTGATTTACCTATTACCGAAATTTTTAATTTTAGATTGAATTTCTGTGTTATATTAAAATTAAATATTTTCAAATCTTAAATTATTAATATTAGAGAATGATAAATGTCCTACTTAATAGAATGTAGCAGTTGATGAGGATTTAAAATGAATATTGAGTTTTAATAATTAGAATACATTCTATTAGAGAAGTGTTTTAAATTGAGTAGGTTTTTAGAATTTATATTCTGATCCATGAATATTAACTTAAATTGTAACTTCTTCTACAGCATTTTTATTCAATATAAATAGTTTTCATATTTTTCAATATCTTTTAAGATGAGAGGAGAAGTAGATGTTTAAAAATAGAAGATAAATCCTATACATCAGGGATACTTTCTTCATTATTGCAATTTAATTCAAAAGTAATAGTTGAAGTATGATAACATTTTTTAGATGTTTCAAGATATGAACAAACAGTGGGCGTATGTGTAATAGTATCAAGATACAAATTTTTAGTTGAATCAAAATTTTTCATGATTTTATAACATAGATTAGAATATCTTTAAAAATCTGAATTACTAGGATTTAATAATTGATTAATTGAATTAATTACATCTTAAGTTCTTTCTCTACAAGCTTCACAATATTATGGACAATCAGCACAATCACTATAATCATCAGCAAGAGATCTTTATCCTGGAGGACATTAAGAACAATCAGCAGTATCAAATTCATATACACACATTGAAACTGAATCAATATGACAACCATCTCCACAACCTTTACATTTATTATCATATAAATCATAACCATTATAACATAATGTGCATAATGGATCATTTAAATCTTCATTTAAGAAGAATGATTTAGATGATTATGAATAAACTTAGTAACCTGAATTAATTTGTGTAAGATTATATGAATCTGTATATTACCAACATTATTAACAATTAGAATTACATCTTACACATTTTCCACGAAAAAATCAGGATAATATCCTTTATTACATTTGATACATTATAATTATTTTTTTTATAATCTAATAGGATTGCCACTTTCATCCTAAACAACATCTGCATCGGGTTCTTAGTAGGCAAAACAATCAATACAATTTAAAATCTTTGAACTACATAAAGTTGTTGTACATGTTCCTGGATCTGTAGCAGCATCAAACTTAAAACCATTTGCACATAATTAACAATTACCATCAGCATTAAGTATAGAACAATTAGGATCAGTTGCAGAAACTCAACTTTTTTTATCTGAATTTAATTTGAAACCAGGAGAACATTATTTAAATAAAATATCAAAAGCTCCATCTTTGGATCAAGAGTAGTAATTCCACCTCAATCTTAATAACATTATTAACAATTTGGAATGTTATAATTTTTACATTATTTTCCATTTGAAGTTATGAATGAGATTGCTCCTTTACATTATCTTCATCTTTTTATATATACTTTCATATCTCTAGTTAAATATTTTTGGATATCCTGTTTCATTATATGTCATAAATTCACAATTAGAACATCCAAAATCACAAGTTTCACAACTTGTTAAAAATAAATTTGGCAAATAATATTTTCCTAATCCATCATTTTATTCGCATTCATAATATTCTATTGTAATCTCATCAAATCTAAAATTACAATCTAAACATCCTAATGGACATTACTCACAATGAGCCCTATTCTTTAATAAATATCCCTTATAACAAATTAGACATCCTTTTTGGTTACATTTTAAACAACTATTCTAACTTTTTAAGCAATTATCATTTTCAAAATAATAACCATCTAAACATGATACTCCTACTTATGGATCTATGTCATTGTTTTTATAATCTTCAAAAAAGTTACATGATTCATCATCCTCATCATCATCATTGCAAAATTATTCACATCCTTCGCATAATTATACAATATATGGAAAATTCACTTCACGACCCAGTATATTTGTCATTTATTAATTTGATGCAACAATAAAATATAATGTTGAACTTGAATCATTTTGTTTCTAAAAAACACTTGTTGCTGAATCACCATTTACTATTTCATATCCATAACTGCATAATCTACTTTCAACCCATTCACTTGGATTTTCGGAACAATCCATACAATCATATCGCATATTTGATGAAAATCCAGGGCTTTAATTTATTCAATATATACTATATCATTAAACACAATATTTTTCTTCGAATAAAAAATAACCATATTCACATACGGGACAGACTTACTACAATCAGCCACACCCAATTAACAAAGCTTTGTACAACTCCCATCTACACATCCTTTCAAAAGAGATTCTCTTTCAATATATACATAACTTCCATACATATCAATCACTCCTACCACCACTCAAATTGTCATCAAAACTAACCATAACAATCTATTCAAAATTTTATACACTTATTTTTTATTATTATTTAAAAGTTGTTAAGTCTACTCCGCTTATTAATTACTCCATTTTTCAAAACCAATAAATTTTAACTTTAAATCAATCCTAAAGAATTTAGAATTTACTAAAAATATTTTCTAACCAAAATCTAAACTATGACTATTCTATAAGACATTCTTATACACAAATATAATGGAATGTTAGCTTTGTTTTTCTAGAAAGTTTTAAAATGTTAATTATATATAATTT